CGCAACCACTTCTCGCTGCGCCGTTCTTTTCTTGGCTGTGTACACATACCAGTAATCTCTAAACCCAAACTTATTATCCTTGGGGCTGGGGCTGGTGTTGATGTTGCTGTGTTCATGATCTGCTTTTTTTTTGGCAAGCGGTTTCCTGATAGCATCTAGCGGTTTACCCACATGTATAAAGAGGAGTAGCTTGTGTTCGCAAACTTATTGGAAATTGTATAGTTCATTCTTATATAAATAAAATAATTTTATTTCTTTCTACAAGTCATTTCACGTAAATAGGCACAAGTCCGAGTCAATTCTAAGTCACAAGGAGCAAGTCTAGAGGCAAGTCGATTCTCAAAGTAAATCTCAAGTCCAGAAAATTGTGACTTGAGTCAAGTCATGTGACACGAGTCTCCCACCTCTGGCAAGTTTGATAATATAATTTATTTCTTTTTATATCAGTTTATGCATTAAGCCATGTAAGCATTTCAGAACATCCACAAGGAGGCGGGTTTCGTGACATCATCTCGTACAATAGAAGTCCCATTTCATTGGCTAATAGCAATAAAACGGCTTCTTTGAACACCCCGCCTCACTTTCTCTCGCCGCAACTGAGTTGCAAGTGCAAAAGTTAGTTTTGCACCTCATATAATTACAACAACAATAGCAAAAGTCAAGGAGCGAAATTTGAGTTTTCAGTGACAGGATTTGATACTGTAAGTTGGGAGTGCCAAAATGTTTTATGCCGAATGTGAATTTACGAATAAATGCAGATATACATTACATGTTTATGAATGTCACTATATTTTTCTGTGAATGGCATTTTACACAGACTACTTTTCTGCAGCCTCAAATTCAGAATATAGGTTTGTGACCATTATCTGTGAGTGCAAATTTCAACATTCAACTTCAGATTTTTATTTGACAGGCTTTCACATTGGAGCTGTGAGTGTAAATGTTCACAAGTACGAATATTGTACAAGTTCTCAAATTCACATCTACGTACTTGCAAGTATTGCTACTCTTTTACCTTCAGATGACCAGGCCATGCAGACAGAAGGTTGTGGTGTAGACAGGGCTATCCATGAAGTTGAGATCTAACACTTGTAGCACACAGACCCTGAACCAGTCTAACGGCCAGGCAGAAGGAACAAGCAGGCAGGGAATCTTGGGGAGTAGACAGAAACCAACACAAAAATAAGACCAAAAAATAAAAATAAATAAAACTAGACTGGCAAAAACTAGAACACCACAAGAACAATTAGAAACTTAATATAATTGGAGCTATAGCAAAGGAAAACTAAAATAAATTCTATAAATCAATAATTGGAACTAGTAAATAAAGGAATAAAACAAGACTGCAACCTTCAATGCAAGCGAGAGAAACTAAATAAAATATTAGTTAAAAAAAGTAAATAACACAAAGACTAGGACTTTTTTTTTTACTGTGCTAAAAAAACCAGCTAAAACCAGCCTAGGCTGGTTATCTGGTCTTAGCTGGAAGTAGCTGGTTTTAGTTGGTCACCCAGCCTGGCTTAGCTGGTCAAGCCGGTCTCCCAGCCTGACTTAGCTGGTTAAGCTGGTCTCCCAGCCTGGCTACCAACTTGACCAGCTAAGACCAGCCTGACCAGCTGAAAAAGTGCTCAAAACCCCTCTAAAACCAGCCTGATAAACCAACCAACCAGGCTGGGAGACCAGCCAAAACCAGCCAACCAGCCTTGGCTGGTTTTAGCTGGATTTTTCAGCAGGGACAGTTGTACAGTCTCACAGTAACACTGCAAAATTAAACTCAGGCAAACAGATCCAACTAAAATCACATTTTATTGAGTCAACCATTATATACAAACAATAAGGAAAGCTTCCTACTTATAAAGGCAATAAAGGTTGTTGCAGAAACAGACCAGCTCACCATTCTGGCTTTCTGCCTCTGGTATGCACACGCACCCTGTAATGTCGGTAAACCCGCGTATAAAGGGAACAGCACATGAGGATCAGGTGAAACCAATCAAGCAAACCAGACCAAACGAAAGGACAAGGGGGCGGGGTAACAGGAAACAAGGAGGCGGAACAAGAGCAGGACATGGCAAACACAAACAAAGACAAAGCCATGTGGTAACACACAAAACAAACATAGAAACATGAAATAAAGGCTTGTTTACACGGACACGGGTATTTTTATAACCGTGACTTTTTTTACGTGGTTCGTCCACGCGAAAACCAGTAAAACCGTCCGGTAAAACCGGATTTTACCTTGTGACGTCAAAGTGTGCGCTGTTATCTGCTGTGTTTGACGTCAGATTGTGCGCCGTTCTCAGGTAATAACTTTTTGTTAGGCTTCTGACATAGACAATATAAGAAATGGACAGAGCGACCTCATTGGAACTCCATTGAGACGATTGAAGCCCGTTTTTGGCGATTTTTTAGCACTTCCGTCCCTGACGCACAGACTCAAACAGAGCTTGACTACGTAGATGTGACGTGGCAAACCGTGGCAAACTAGTTGCTGTGGCATGAGAAATCTGAATCATTCCCTTCTGAAATTCGCAGAGGCGGCGAGTGTGAGTTGGAGCTGTCCATGAGCTAGTAGCAGGAGAAACTTTTGCTAGGTATTCTGATTAATTATTTTGTCATTTTGCCTCCACGTTTCCCCGATTGTGCGCGAGCTTCTTCTCCTGTCCATACGGTAATCTCTCTACTGTGCGACAGAGTCGCGTGGGTATGACGCAATCGTTAGCCTATACTTTCACTAAAACGGGGCCATAACATAAGCTATAAGGTAATGGAGCATTTTATACATTGTCGTGTTTCTTTAGAAATAAATAAAGGACAAATGGGGTCTTCAAACGCCTCAGATGTAAAATTATTTACTGTCAAAGTGACGCCAAAATGAATGGGAGTCAATAGGAATGCATACGCAAGTGAAGTTCTGCTACAAGATGTCAGTTCCCGCGAGGCTTCAACGTCCGGTCGATGGATTACCCCCTTGGCTTATGATTAGCTAACGTGGCTTTACGGTTAGGCCGTGTGTCCACCAAAGCGTTTTTAGCCAGCTGAAAACGCTAGACGCTCTGCTGAAGGCACCATGCTTTGGGCGCTTGAGAGCGTTTTGGCAGCGCAGCATTTTTTCCGTTGAGACGTTTCGTTGCTATGATACAGAATATCCGCAGCAGTTGAATGTTGTGACAGTTGGTCGGTGTGGTATTAGTCCCGCCCCTCCTCCACTGTGATTGGACAGCTGGGTAAAAAGTGACAGAGATGAGCGCTGCGTTTTATCCAAAGTTGAACATTTTACAACTCCCAGCAACCAGTAAAAAGCGCTGGGCGCTCGGTGCGTCAGCGTGAAAAAAACGCTCAGCGCCTCGGTACGCTCATGGCGTTTAAAAAACGCGGCGCTCCCATTGAAAACAATTGTGCATAGACAATTGTGGCAAAGACATATGCCAGGCGCGTGGAAAAACGCTTTGGTGGACACACGGCCTTAGGGTTATATCACCGCCTGCTGGTGTGGCATGCTCTTGACATGTAGACTAAACCGAGCATGTGTTAATTCGGGTTATAAAAATGGCCGTGTCCGTGTGGACAAGGCCAAAGACAACACAGACAAAGCGGCTGTCAGGGCAGAACCCTGACAAATATGGTGAATATTATAATGTTTAGACCCATGTTTAATTGTTAAATACTGTGTTTTTGGATATCTTCTCAAACGTAGATATGTATAATATGGTAAAAAATAATGTATCATAGTTTGGGGCTGCTCAGTCGCTTCAGTAAATGCTTTTTGCACTCCCTGTGTCACTGAAGTGTTCATTTCCAATAATTTATAGCCTGCTATAGGCTATTATTATTATTTAATGCAGCCCTAGAAATATATGCCTTCAGCGGCACAACAAACCTGGTGTTTCCCTATCCCTGCATCAGGCTTCTCCTCCACCCACCTGAAGGTCCGAATTCCTGGGATTGAGCAAAAACATCTGATTCCCGCCGTCATCAATGTGACATCCTGTACCATATCATTAATATATGGAACTTCGATTAATGGAGGTATGAGGTAATACAGGTATCTTGCAGGCTTAAGCTCATCTATAATCCAGTCTTCCCCACAAACATGAATATTTCATAACGAGTCTCTTTCACTGCTGACACCAAAGGAATGTAAAGCCATGTAGAGTGCAGTACTGTCAAGTTCAGCACCGTGGGTCATTGCGGTGTGGTAGAGCCGCAAACTTTCTAATCAGTGATGCTGTCTGTATTATTCATAATGGTCATTCACTGTCTCCTGACACACACACACACACTTTAGTACAGAATTAGAAAAGGATGGAACTTGTTTTTTTTTTATTTTACACTACACTGGTCACACAGGCAATTTACATATAATTTAGAATGTGCAATCATGCTTCAGATGTTATTAAATCAAGTATGTTACTGGAGCTTTGCAAATACAAATAATTTTGTAAATAATTTTTTTTTTAAATCATTCAACAAGCATTTGTTTCATTACATGCTGACATTGTGGGTTCATCGAAATGCACCAGTATTAGGGTTGGGTATCGTTTGAATTTGAACGATTCTGATTCCGATTCCGATTCCTTGTTTCGATTCCGATTCTTTTAAGAGGCAGGGTCAAAAAAGTTTAGCTAACCTTGCTATCCAACGGCCTTTCTGAAGGAAATACTCCTTCTGTAAAAATACTCCTTTTGTCACAAATTTAGCATTTTGCCGAGATTTCGTTATTTTTAGAAAAGTGAAGCCACACTTTGGATCGGCGACGTAAGGTACTCATGTTCGACTCGCTGCCAACACTTCCGGTAGACACTTCTTCGTTGGTGTTGTTCAGCGGTTTCTTCTTCCGCTCGGCGAACTGTGAATATCGAAACTAGAATCCAAATTTTAACTTTTGAACGATTCCGGGAAAAACGAAAAGTTAGTCTCGGTTCCAATCGATACTCGATTCTCGATACCCTAACCAGGATAGCATTTCAGGTACAAATAAATGAGTGGTTGAAATGGCCAAGACATATTTAATTTTTATTTTTACGATATAAATGCAGAAAAAAAATCCCACTATATTTATGTATGTATTTTTTTGCATAGCATTTTGAGGCTATTCTGTGGATAAAAGATGAAAATTCTCTAAATTTTTCCTGAACTCAGTCATTTTGTCAGCCCTGTATCATAATGCCATGATCAAGGGTACATATAGTATCCTGAAAAAAAAAAAAAAAAAGTTCATTAACCTGTATTCATAATGACAGGTTAAATAATTTCTTGTCATGTGACCATTTAAGGCACCTTTTTGACACGAATACCAAAAATGTTCAGACTATTAAGGCAACATTAAACGGTCATTACCACACAACATTAAATACATAATAGACCGTTATCTTGCTCCTCAGTGTGATTTCCTCACTGATGATGAGAGAATTACAAAGCTTGGCAAAGCTATTTACTGTACCAGTCATGTGCAACTAACATAGGAGAAAAAAAAACAAACAGACACAATAGAAACATATGATTATCGAACATAACAAGAATGTCTTTGGATGTAACAACCATTTTTTACAGCAAGATTTTAAGAGGTTCAGAATGGTTAAACGAATTAGCCCGAAAGAACGAAAGAAAGAAAGAAAGAGCAAAGAAAATCTCTCATATATCAGTTATTTCTCCTTGACAGCAATAAGAAGACATGGAGAGCAAATGAAGATTACAGCTTCTCAGATTCCTCTAGATGTCTCTAGAGACAAAAGTACATTCTATACGCAAATATTTCCAAATGACACCCAAATAGCAATAATACATTATATCTGTATTTCCCTGCGAATGAATGTGTCAGTGGCTTTGGCCAGGGGTCAGATATGTTGACGTGGTGATTAACAGCACAACAGAACAAAGATTTACCGCAAACAAAGTCTCACCACAATGGGAACTAAAGCCAAAAAACCTGCCTATGTAGGATGGAAACAGCTGAGAGGCAGTGGCTTTGTGACCATCTCTAATAACCAACGGCTAAACTTTGACGTTCAACTAATGCCAAAGGAGCCACCAGGCTTAATAAGTCTATAGCATTGTTAAAATCCCTACAGTGAAACATGGACCGGGAGGTAGAAAGAGAGCCAAAACTGAGATGGAATTGGAAAGTGCTTTTTTAAGGCCACATCTGTAGTCCTCCTGAGAGCCTGGCGCTATAGTGGGATTTAAAGTTATAGTGACCTTTTCTTTGCAGTGATAAATAGTACATAACTCAGAGCTGATGTGAATGGTAACTTAATAGAGTGGAACTCTTTTATGATGAAGACTCCTCATACCTCATCAACTGCAGCAGCAGAATTGAGGTGAATGCATTTTTTTTTCTCTCCCACCAGTCCTATCAACTCCCATATAAAAACAGTCCAAATGTCAATTATTTGCGGGCAGACTGGCGTGATGTGCATGGATAAACATGGACGATACGGTATATGACTGTTGTGGTCATGTGGAGAAGTAATCAGTGCCATATTTACAGAACATAGAAGACTATCAACCCAAGTTGGCTCAAAAATTGTCCATCATTGGCTTTGTGTGGTTATGATGAACTACAACTGGTTTTCCACTGGACCATTACGCATTACCATTCTACTTTGAGTCAAAAACTTTGGGTAAAACGTTGTTGCATTTGCAAAATGCTGACAGCAATATAGAAAAGTGATAATTTAGCAAAATGACTTTGCTGAAAAGGGGCTATCGATCTGTGATAATTAAACAGAACAAAATCCATCTGTTTTTCTTGTTTGCAATGCAATCATACGTGATAAATCAGTTTTCCCATTATATATTTATGGTATACCCTCATGCTGTTCCACTGATACAGTTAGGTAATTAAAGTTTGGCAATAAAATCATTCATCAGCACTGGTTTTGACTTCAGGTTTAAATGTCTAACATTAATCTGCTGCTTAAAATATGGATTTTCGTGTGCAACTACGCAAGTAATAATCATTTAAGTGCTCTAAAATGAAAAAGGACCACAAATGGTTGACAAATGAGCTAGCGGTTTGAATTCAGTTTCTAGCAGATGCATTTGGCACATGCATTTCCAAGCAATTTCATTGCACTAAGAGCATATTGGCTCTCACAAAAGCTAGCAAAAAGACAAATACTATAAAAATAACAATGTGAAAGGTCATTCATTCAGTGAATGTGTATACTAGATTAGTTAAATGTTCAGCAGGATCATTTAAGGCCTTTTCACTCTCCTTTGAACATACTTGTTGTTTGGTAAGATGTGAAATAACTTGAAAATAGAGATAAAAAAACAGGAAAACTATATATAAAAGAATTTATATACAGTGGGGTTTAAAAGACTGAGGCCAAAAGGAAAATCTGGGATACAAAATCAAAACTAAAACTCAGTTTTTTTAGTATTTTGAATACAATTAAAAACACATCATGATAAAACCAATACAAAACAATTTAAAATTTTGCTCTAATTCTAGTCAACTAATTTTTGACAAAAGGTCAGATTATTTCTTCTCCTAATAAATCATTAGAATTTTTCAAATGAACTTTTTACTTTAATTCTCATGCTATGATAAAGCATTTGTAAAAAAGTAAACAATTTAAATGATTGATAAATATATTATTTAATATCATTATTAAATTAGTAAGTTATATTAAATAAAAGAAAAACTGAATAGAAACATTTCCATAGTAGTCTAAGACTTTTGAACCCCACTGTGTATTTGTACAAAGCAATAAAAAATACTGAAAAAGTAAGAGCGTGTAGTTTTGGTATGCAGCATGTAATATGTCCTTGTTTAGGAGTGTTGATGACCATCATTATCGTAGTGAGTTCAGCCCAGTTTGATTCTCGTGTCCTGGCCGTAAAAGCCCACCTGGAGCAGAATGGCAATGTCAATTAAGATCTGTACCGCACCACAAACCAAGAACTGAGTGGGGCTTTCATTGATCACAAAATACGCGGTCTTAAAGATATCACCAGCGGTCCACAGGAGAACCATCTTTATGCTGAAAAAGAGGGAGAGAGACAAAGAAAGAGAACATTTTACTAAAGCATTCAGAAATATATAAAGTCTCAGCAGTTGGAAAGATTCCCATTCAGCTATAAAGTTCTGATAAATGAACCTCATTCGAAACCTTTTAAAGGCATCACCAATACATCAGACTAATGCATCGCACAATGTCCTGTCCTCCCACTTGATAAAGTCATACATCTGTATATCTCACACATTTGCAAGTCTCTGAAGTCATGTGCAATTGAGTCCAGTGGGGCTACACTTAATAAGAATCTGAGGAGACAATTATTTCATATAAAATATAAAATTGTGAAGAGGTGAGGTCTAACTTCTGGTACGTAACAGCTCATAAAATCTAAAAATAGATCCATTTAAGCATTTTCTGCTGAATAATTTGCATTCTACAAATGTCAATTTGACTGTGTGAGGATAAACGACAGGAGGAACAGTGCATCCTGGGACAAAACCTGCTCTTTATTAGTCAGAGAAGGACCGAACCACCTGCAGGAAGCTTGGGGGACCACAAAAGCACGATATTTTGTAAATGTCAATCCTCCTTCCTTTTTGAAAAGCAGAGAAAAGTTCATCTTTGAAAACTTCCAGGAATCAGCTAAAGTGTTCTCGAGCAAAGAGCGATGCTGCGTTCTCAGCGCAATTTATGCTGAATGAGTTCATTCTTTTCATTCAAGCTTAAAGAGAGAAAAGTGGTCTAAAGATGAGCACAGACTATCAGCTGTCACAGATGGAGCGGGAGGAGAACTTGGACTTCTTATGCTCCCGAAGGTCATCCCGACAATAGAAATGTGTCTTTTACACAATGTGAGGCAGCAAATGCAGATAACTAATGAAATGGTACATTCTTCTTGTCTACTTGATGATACAAACCCATCCGTCTAGACATGACATTGACTATGATTATGTTCTTCCTTCGTTTTTGTGCATTGATTTGGTATCACAGGAAGATTGTGAATGAGGATGAAGGAATATTTGCAGGCAGGAAGTATTCATTTAGCTGATGCTTTTATCCAGAGCGACTCACAATTGCTATATATGTCAGAGGTCGCACGCAACTGGAGCAACTAGGGGTTAAGTGTCTTGCTCAGGGACACATTGGTGTCTCACAGTGGATTCGAACCTGGGTATCTCACACCACAGGCATGTGTCTTATCCACTGCACCATCAAATAGTGACGCTTTTGACAATGCGTCTAAATCCGACGCACATGGCACCCTTTAGCGTCAAAATAACACGCTTCGCTTATGGATAGGTTTAGGTCTGGGGTAGGGTTAGGGTTTAACCACTAGGAGGCTCCGCCCATATATATCTGCGTCTTATATTGATGCTAAAGGGTGCCATGTGCGATGGATGTATACACATTGTCAAAAGTGTATATGACGCCTTGGGATGAGAACGGGCTGACAAAACACTCATTATTGGTGCGAACTAAAAAGTACTATGTGATGTGGTTGTGAAAATGATAATAAACCTCAAAAGGCTATGTATCCTGAAAATCTCCAACCCGATCTCACGGGAATTCGTATGAATTTTACGAGGTGGCTAATTCGTAACAATTCGTACGACCTCACTCGTACGAATTAGTACGATTTTGCTAAACCGTACATATTTTACGAATTAGCCAATTCGTATGAATTCGTATGAATGACCTACCCCTGACCCCGCCCCTATAAACATAAAAGTCACGTGGGTTTAGACAAATCGTACAAATTCGTACGAGTGAGGTCGTATGAATTAGTGCAAATTAGCCACTTTTGAATCACTCGTACGAATTCGTACGAATTGGTCGTGAGATAGGGTAAATCTCCATTAAAATGTCCTGTTTAAAGTGCGTTGAGAGAAAACGTGTCCTGTATCCGATCTCAAAGTTACACCCCACTCTTCTCTCCTCCTTCATTTGTCTTCTACATTAGTTTACTCTAGAGACCATTCTCAAACATCATTAATGAGGATGAAACATTAATGAGGTAATTAAGTAAGGTGGGTCATCTGTACAAGAGCACTGCCACACACTAAAAAACACTTAAAGGTTCTCCATCTTTCGCTCAGAGAACAGAAACTCATCTAATTGTTCCCAAATATTCATTCTAAGACAAACATGCTCTTTCTCATTCCCAACAACAAACCGCTATCTTTCCCTCCACTCTCCTTCCCCTCCAAGCACTTTGCGGATTGACAGCAGATGAAAGAAATGCTCGGCAAACAGCGAGCAGCGCTTCAGGGCCTATGAGAGAGGTAGAAGTGATTATTGCATTGATTAGGAGAACTGAGGCCACGGTTACAGCACTCCCGTCCACACTGAACAGCCCTGCACTCAACCCTGACAAGCCTTCAATTGATCCTCTTCCACCTGACGCTCTATCAACCCAAAGAAAGAAAGAAAGAAAGAAAGAAAGAAAGAAAGAAAGAAAGAAAGAAAGAAAGAAAGAAAGAAAGAAAGAAAGAAAGAAAGAAAGAAAGAAAGAAAGAAAGAAAGAAAGAAAGAAAGAAAGAAAGAAAGAAAGAAAGAAAGAAAGAAAGAAAGAAAGAAAGAAAGAAAGAAAGAAAGAAAGAAAGAAAGAAATAGTATTAGAAGTGAATTAAAGAAGAACAGACAGACAGGGAAACAAAAGATAGAACTATATAACACAACTTCAATAATCGGGTGATAGAACAATACTACAGGGTTAGGGTTAGGAATATGGATGGGTTGCATGTAATTATGCATAATTCATAGTTATTACTACAGTAATAAATGTAACAATAAATAAACCATAAAATACACAGAAAAATAGAATGATGGAATAAAAGACAAATGATATACAAATAGAATGATAAAAAAATAGAATGATATAACATTAGAATGATAATACAATAGAAAAAAGAATGGTAAAACTATATAGATAGAACAACAGAAAGACGACAAACTAGAACGCCAGAATGATGGAATGATACATAGAATGATAGAAAGACAGAACAGCAGCAACCAAGACGTAATGATAGAATGAGAATGAACAATGGATGGATGGATGGATGGATATTTTATGCACGCATAAATTCTGCATTTAACGTAAGGATGCTCGTCCATTTCCGGTTGTGGAGATTGATGTCGAGAAAAACAGGATTATGGCAGAGTCTTCAAAATGTACTGTCCTCCCGTCTTTGAAATGAAATGTACATACATGTAGATGTAATTTTATATATAGTTATATTTATTTAATATAATTTTAAAAAGAAGTATAAACACAACGAGGGGTGTCTGTTTTAACTGTTGTTGTGACTAACGTTTCTTTAGTATAACCATGGAGTATAAAATTCAATATAAATTCTCGGTATTGCATTGGACTCTACGATCGGCGGAAGTTATCGAGCATCCTTACACCTTCACCGGAAATACCGCCGTGCATAGAGCCCATAGATAGATGGATGGATAGATGAATAGATAGATAGATAGATAGATGGGTAGATGGATAGATGGATATGAAAAAGAATTCCGTATTGACAATTGCCAGAGATATCTAAGGAAGGGGTAACATCCTGAAGATCTGCTCCAGACAGATGTATCGACACATCGGGCTCTTTCTTATGCACAGTCTCTCCGGTTTCTCTCTACTGAGTTTACATCGATGTAGGGATAAACCGTGACCAGCGAGAAGCCTCTGAAAGAGAGAACGGCTCCCACATAAAAACCCTCACTGTGTACAAATGCTCACAAAGGGAGTGAAGAGAGCTGATTAAACTAGTCCTGCTCTTCGCCTATGGAAAGAAAAAGACAAGTCAAAACAAAACTCAAAAGAATCCTCAAAAGTGGGCTCGTCAAAACTTTGACCAGTGAATTCAAAAGGCTGGTGAGAGAAAAAAAATGAAATATGTATGTAGATCGATCCATCCGTCTCAAAACAGGAGAGTTTGCACATTTTCTAAAAGAGATCAGTCTCCACAGTCCACACAAAAGAAAAAAAAAAAAACTCCAAGAGAAAGATAGGGTGATGGGGACATTAAAACCCTAAAACTGAATCATGTTTCTCTACCATATGGCTAACAAACAAGCTCACACAGATCACTGTCTTACAAACAAAATGTATGTAGCCGATCAAACCAATCTAGAAATACATACAGCACAGCTGCGATGTGGTCTGGATGGAAATGGAGTGTTCCAGCAGCCTTTAAATTCATTCAGTTGGACATTATAATGTCCCCTGTTATATATTTCTATTTCTGTATGCACAAACCCATTAAGAGCAATGCAAATGCCCTACAAAGATACATGTCAACTGGAAAAAACTGATGGTTTCCTCTTTCCCTTCTTTGTCTTTCCCTCCAGAATGCCGGCACTCTGCTCTCTTTAATTTTTCTTTTTTGTCTCCTCCCCTACTCCGCTGTGCTTTGCCCTGGAGGGGATGTGAATAATTCTGTTGTGGTACTGGTCCTGGCAAGCCGTGGCTGCCAGCGGCTCATCTAATTCAATCACACGGCTCAGTCTGATCAATGGGGATTGTGCTGGAAGCCGGCGTACCTCCGCTCATCTTGGGTCAGGTGGGGATTCACTCCACTGGCTGTTTCTTCTCTAATTAACCCAGACATGACAGCCAACAACTGTGAGGGCAACAACTCTACTGACAGAGGTCTGTATGTTTGCGTGCCTCTAAGCGATAGCAACTCAAAGATCGAAATGTGTCAAAACATACCTTGTTAATATGTGCTGAGGTGAAACATCACTTTCAGGTTTCAGAAAGTCCATCACTAAGTTTGGAATGCAATACTACCATATTTCTGCAGTATGCATTATGAATACTACACTGTAAAAAAATATTGTTGGTTTAACTTAAAAAATTAAGTAAGCCTTAAAATTTTAAGTTGATTGAACTGGAAAAAGTGAGTTAATACAATGAAGGAGATTGATTTAATCATCAGAAACTCAAAATAATAAGTTATCTGAACTAAATGAATGATTTAAGTTGATTCGACTAAAGAAAAAATGTTTTTGGTTTTATTAGT